GAAAAAAATCCATTTTGTTAGAAACCCGAAGTTTCGTAACCAACTATATAAAATGTGTCCGAGCTGCAAAAAAATCTAGCAAAGTGGAAGCTGACCATAAACCGCTTATTAAGCCTACTTCACGGATATTAATTCATATTTAATCAAAACCAATACGCACAAATTCATCCAGATGGGCCTAATCACAAAATATTGACTGAATTAGTACTTTTAGAATATTGAAAAAGAGCTGTACTCAGGCCAGACTCTAATCCATTAGATTTCAGAATTAAAAATGTTCACGTAAAATCCTAAAAGCTTCCGTAATGAAACACGTACTTATACAGTTCATATTTCATTTGCACAGCTTTCCTGCATTTTCCACGTATCCCATCTCCTAGATGGTCCTGTTAGAGGCTGAGTCAACCCCAGGGCCATTGTGCGGCTGGAGGGATTAAGTACATTGAAAAAATCCACCTCATCGGGATTCGAAGCCGCGACCTTCCGGCTTGTAGCATAGTGCCTCAACCAACTACGATACCGCGCGCCCCCCTTTCTTATTGGTAGCCTTTAAATTTATAACAACAATGCCTTTCTTTCTGACCTATCGTTGCACTAGAGCCGGGGTAGCTCAGTCGGTATAGTGGCTGGCTACGGGCTGAACGACCGAGGGGTCGGAGTTCGAGTCTCGGTAGCGTCAAGAATTCTCACTTCTCCACGTCGTCCACACTGGCTCTGGGGTCTACCCAACCTCCTATCCAATGGATACGGGGGCTTATTTTCCCCGGGGGTAAAGCGGCCAGCGCATGAAGCTAACCACTCACCTCCAACAAGTGCCAAGGTCTAGAAAATGTGGATCTATATATCCACTCCCCCATACCAATTCATGGCGTGGTGCTTGGGACAACTTTACCTTACCTTTACGTTACCTATCGCTGCACTTTTGACGTCATTGCTTGACGCAGTAGAATCTGCTGACATAACGTGACACGGTAACTAACCCACAGTGATGTCTCCAATGAGGTTGGAGCTAATTCTGTGACACAAGAACGAGGTGTACACTGTGTGTAATGAGAGGGGGTGCTGCAGACATGAGGAGGGAGGAGTCGGGATCGATTACAGGGCTCTGTAAACATACAGGAGCTTCAACTGGAGATATCTTGCTAGATCCTCAACTCTTCCTGTGCAGCTCTGCTCTGGTTCTTCCATGAGAACTACGCACTTCCGCTACAGCGGCTATAGGGTCTGGGGTCAAGGTCCTTGCTCTTTATTTTCGTCTGACCTTGACTCCTTCATTGCCACAAGTGACAGACTTTTATGCTGCAGAAAATGGCGTCATTAGGAAATTTAAAATCTTTACACAGCCAACTGTGAGCTGATTGTCTAGAAAATGTGGGAGCATCGACGTCTCACAAACGTATGGGCTTCCAAGGCCTGTTACAGGGATAAATTTACCTTTTTAAGCTTCTCCAAATGGTATTGGGTGGATCATAACATGGGAAGATGGGGGTCATGTAGCACGAAAGGAAGAGATTAGAAATACATACACAATTTATTTAGAAAGTATAAGAAAAAGTTATCATTTGTGATATCTACACACAGATCGGATAATAATATTAAAAAGTTTCTTATAGAAACGGGAAGGGGTGGACTTTTCTTCTGGCTGAGGATAGGCAATAATTGATCGAGATTTTGAATATAGTATTGACTTTTCCAGTTCGATAAACTGCGAGGAATTTATAGACTAGATAAGGAACTATTAGCTTCACATGATCGATGCTGCTCTGTAGCTACAGTTAATTAATTAGTTAATATGGGCGGGTAAAGCGATCAATGTACTCGAATAAGATAGTGAATCATGGGTAGATAAGGCCGTCTCGAATCAATTTTAGCGCACAGTGTGTGCTGTCATGCTATTGTGAATATTAAAACGGAAGCAAAACGGCGAACAGATGTATCTACCGATCTGACAGAGTAACCTTTCAAACAGAGTCCTACTTTAACAAATTATACCACATAATTCAACGCTTATACGGCCATCTGATATAATATACATGCTGTGTCAAACGGTTTTCAGTGTGTTCAGTTATGGTTGAGAGCATGAAAACATCTTCAAACCACCGAAATCCAGTCGCTATCAGATCCTATTACCCTTCTGTTCACTCTGCCATGAAGGCGTATGGGAAGTGATTGTATAGATCCATGTATTCTTGATCTCGACACTGGTCAGCTTCACGCCCCCGGCCGCTTTACTCCCGGGGAAGGAGGCCCAGATAACCATTGGATAGGAGTTTGGATGAGCACCAGAGCCGGTCTGGACGATGTTCCTACATTTTGTCACGTGTTTCAGTAACTAAGACGCGGGTTTGGATTGATGAATCGGTTTATTAGATCTTCATTAATCGTAACTACAGTTAGTTCTTACACTCTCAAGATTACTGTAACTACAGCACATGTAAGGTCACACACTACGTCTTTTATTCTTCTTCTGGCCACACTGCTGTTCCCTTGGAACTTCGGATCTCAAATGAAGTCAATTCCCATTCCCGTATTCTCTCACATCCTCTCGGCACGGACCACGCACAGAAAATAAGTCACGTGATAACCATCTCGCAAGTCCATTGGCGCGCTGAGTGTTGCCTAGCAACGAGCTATAACTATTCGTCCTATTGTTGCGTGCTTGTATCGCGGGGTGTTTATCGAACCGTTGCGTGTCAATGCGTTGATATGTCAGAATAGTAAGTATGAAATATTGTTTGTAAACCTAAAATAAAAAAAATTGCGACGATAAGATTATTTGAGCTTACATCCCACAAACACAATTTTAAAATAATCTGTATGTAAATAAAAGCACAATAAACTAACAATAACAATATAATGACGCTTATTTCGGACTAGAAATGAGTGCAGTAAGTTAGTAAACTTCATGAGTTGTATTCGAATCTCCTCGTTTCTGGCACTCTTTAATTTAACACAAAATTATGTCGCTTAGGAAAGATAAAACCACATTCAATCAACAACATTGCCATAAAATTCCTACAGGAAAAGTGTGGTCCATTTGGGCATTTGTTTAACCTTTCAATACACGATCGTTATTATGTGCATTACAAAATGTTTCAACAGTAAACGAATCTGCATTGCGCCCACGGAATGCAATTTTGGGTTTCGAATAATTCTCAGAATAAACAGAGGTTATTTCCATAAACAATGTTAATATATCAATATTTGTAATGGACAAGTAATATTTTCTGTGGGGCAGAGAATGATTTTTCTTGAACATAACTTAGATAAAATTCGTCCCTAAATGGGTTACTCACCGGTCACGGTAGCCGAGCGGTCTAAGGCATGTACTGTCTTCGCTCGCTTGGAAACCGAGATCGTGGGTTTGAATCCCACTCAGGGCATGAGTGTTTAGTTTGTGTGTGTGCGTTTTTCTGTGTGTGTGTACAGGTAGAGGCCTTGCGACGAGCTGATCACCCGCCCAAGGAGTCCTACCGAATGTCTAAGATCTAGAAAAACCGAAGTTCATGTAGGTAGGCCTAGGCCCACTGGGGCTGTAGTGCCAAGGAAAAAAATGGGTTACTCACAGAATTCAGCAATTTTAAATGACAATTTGAGCGAATAAATTAACGAGTTTTTGCCTAATTCTATTCAGTAAATTAAGTAAAGTAAGTAAAGCTATCCCTGTAACAGGCCGTGGAGGTCCATAGGGTTGTGAGACGTCGAGGCTTCCATATTTTCTAGACAATCGGCTCACAGATGGCGGTGAACTTGTCAGCCTTAAGCGCCGGCCGCCCTATTCAGTAGGACCGTTAAATTCTTTATATTTTCAAAACAATGTCAATTCCAGGCGACACACTATTAAACATTTAAAACAGAATTTTGTTCATAGTAATATTTAAAAATTCAGTTCCTACCTCACGGGGAGTCGAGATAGCAGAGTCGGTATAGCAACGGGCCATGGGCTAGATGGTCGGGGTTCGATTCCCGATAGGGGAAAGATTATTCTCGCCTGCACAGCGTCCAGACCAGCTCTTGGGCCCACCCAACTTACTACCTAATGGGTACCGGGGGCTCTTTCCCCAGAGGTAAATTGGCCGGGGCGTGAAGTTTACCCCTACTCTCCAACTGGTGCTGAGCTCAAGAATGGTAGAGCTACACTCGTACCTCCACTCCTACCTATGTCTTCATGGCATAGTGCTTAATTAATCAAGCACAGAGACAACTTTGTTTTTTATTGCCTGACAGAAAACACGCCATGTCTCTGTTCTGAAGAACAACTGGCTAACGCCCTTTAGAGAACGAACTGTTTTTGTTCTCATAATTTTTTTCCTTGGCACTACAGCCCCAGTGGGCCTAGGCCTACCTCCATGAACTTCTCCGTTTACTTCGGTTTTTCTAGATCTTACACATTCGGTAGGACTCCGTGGGCGGGTGATCAGCTCGTCGCAAGGCCTCTACCTGTACACAAACACAGAAAAACGCACACACACAAACTAAACATCCATGCCCTGAGTGGGATTCGAACCCACGATCCCGGTTTCCAAGCGAGCGAAGACAGTACATGCCGCTCTCATAATTACCTATATGAAATACACAAATATGCTGTGGGAGCAAAATGCAGCTTCTTGGTGTTAAAGCAGGTGGTACATATTGCGACCACTGTCTAAAGAGTTAGGGCCCTTCGGTGTACTAGTTTATTTATTTCAAGTTGCTACATCAATTGAAGGGGCCAAGCGGTAGCGTAGTTGGTTGAGGAGGCCCTACGTTACAAGTCGCCCTCTCGTCTAAGAGGGTGCCTCATATCAACAAAATCCGCAAGTGTTTGACAGTAATAAAATCTGGTCTTGAGCCCCATATGGATGAATGACATCAGGACAGACTGGCCGACTGACCGTCTCCATATCTATAAGCCATTTCCGGCAGGAACCTGAGGACGCTCCATGTCCTGGTGAGCATGTTACAGGGCTCACGTCACGAGGAAGTGTGGAGACGCATCTGAGGAAGCAGCAGGGCCTTACCTTGACAATGTTGTCGTGGGCGAGCTCTGTCAGTAAGATAATCTCTCTCAGTATTTTAGCAGCGGCTCTCCTGTAGCAGAGCGGAAGTGACGCAGCTGGGCTCATGGGTTTGTGCTTTTCTTGACACTTGAGGATATCATGACCGTTGAGGTTCACTGTCTTCACTGCAACATCTCGACCCTGGTACCTGAAATACATGTAGGATGAATGATAATTGTTTTGTCAATATCGACGGCTTAATAACAGCAGAATATTTCTTCAGAAGCTGTTATCAGCTCTGCTGCTCAAGATATTACCCACCCGTGTTCACAAGAGCAACCGTTCAAAACAACTTTTATTTTTAAGTATTTTTGTTTAATTTCGTGAGGTGGGGTGAGACTGGGTCCACTTGGTACGTTCTCCACTAACTGGCCTGTTGTACCAGCCCCGGATGATAGATAAGTATGGAGCGTTTTGTGAGATGACAATTGGCAGGGGAAACCGAAGTACTCTGAGAAAACCTGCCTCAGTGCCATTTGTCTACCACAAATCTCATATGCCTGATTTGGGCTCGAACCCGGGTCGCCGCGGTGGGAAGCCGGCGACTAGCCGCCTGAGCTATGGTACAGCCTTTTATTTTAAGTGCCTCTAACAGTAAATCTAACAGTGCTGTGCATTAATAGTTTCCCGGTAGGGACAAGGTTTCTGTCTTCACATCGCCCAGACCGGCTCTGGGGCCCTCCCATCCTCCTGCACAAAGGGGGAGGGGGGAGTTAAGCTGACCATTCACCTCTACATAATGCAGAGGTTAATAATTATGGAGTGAAATCTCCACTCCTCCATACGTCTTAATAGCGTGGTAAAGGCAAAGTTGTCCCTGTGCTTAAGCAATTAAGCACTACGTCATGAAGGCGTATGGAGGAGCGGATGTATAGATCCACATTTTCTTGACCTCGGCACTAGCTGGAGGTGTGTGGACAGCTTCATGCCCCGGCCGCTTTACCCCCGACGAAAGCGCCTCCGATGGCCATTGGACTGCATGCTGGATGAAACCCAGAGCCGGTCTGAACGACGTTGAGAAAATTCTTGCCCCCACCGGGACTCGAACTCCAACCCCTGAGTCGTCCAGCCGTAGCCAGTTGCTATACCGACTACGCTATCTCGGCTCATTTAATAGCGTGGTGCTTAATTAATTAAGCATAGGGATACCATAGGGATGTGTACCTTGTTTATTGTATGTACTTTGTCTTGTATTGTTCCCTTTACGTTATAGTCTTTCCTTGTCTGTGTCTGTGTAAGATCTACTGCCACCGGGTGAACACACAATTGCAGTAAAATATTAATAATAATAACTTTTGTTATGGTGCCTTTGGCAACAGCTCCGCGGGCCGTAGATTGCCTACCCCTGAAGATACGTGAGAGAAGAGAGCCACACGAACAATTTAGCAGCTATACTGGTCTCTGGAGAATACAAGTGGAGGCTGAAATCGTCTGGCACCTGAACACAAACCACTCCTGGCCAACACTAACTGCTGTCACAGCAGGGGATCTACCGGTGCTGAATAAATGAAGAAAGGACATACCCGACGGACGGCTTCGTGCATGGATGTTACCCGGAGCAGTCGTCACTAGCTTGTTCGTTCAGAGAGGGAAAAATATCCAGTTCACGTTAGATACCAAATTTTGTGTACTATTGTAGCCAAGGTTGCGGAATTTTTATTTTTTGTTAGTTCCACTGCAATGGAAATTTGGTGACCCCCAGAGGAAGCGGTTTAATTCTGATTATTTCAGATGCGGAGATCTGTTATGACTGAGAAGCATGTAGTAGCAACTGTGAACTACGCCCCTTTGTTAAGGAGTACCAACAGTAAATTTCACTAAAATTCTTGCTAACTGACATGGCGTCCAATTACTCTACGAAAAAAAGGGCACTACCATACCTTGTGTAGCCAACTTTACGAAAGAAATGTTGTGAGTTAAGTACGTCAGCGTTTTCTAACAGGAGCATGTATATAGGAAGTACGTTGCAAATACAATCTAGCGACTTTCTAAATGTTTACTTAGCGGTCTACATCAGTAATTGACAGCTGCTTCCCATAGCAGAGAGGATTACTAGGCCCTTGGACTTTGTCCATCGTTCAACGTTTCGGAAACTGTATCTGTTTCCGTCCTCATGTGAAGGGGTGGGAGACACATACCTGCTTTAGCCCAGTCACTGAACCACTGGTCGAGTGATTGGCGTTAGCTTATTCTAACGGACGCAATAGAATATATCCAACCCTCATCAAATGAAGATGGAAACAGATCCAGTTTCCGAAGACTCGTGTTCTTCAGAATACCGGACAATGGACAAAGTCTAAAAACCCAGTAATCCTGAGTGTCAAGCACCGTTATTAAAACAATTCAGAATCTATCTGATAATAAATAACATTCCCCAAATTGGTTTCTGGCTGGGAAACGTACAGTGTGATTCTAAATTACTGTCGGAGTTTCCGTGGCCTATAATTTTCAAACCGGAAGGAACAAAATTAAACTGCTAACGTGATATGAAAGCGTAATTCAAAATGTTTTATTTCGAAACATTGTACTCACTGTATTTGATGTCTTGAAGAAAATATGATGTCATACCTCAAAATATGCGTACTTTACTTTTTCGAAACAAAGTACGCTATCAAATTGCAATGTCTTTATAGAACTCAACATGGAAAAAGAGGCTGGTAGTGTCTGAACCGAAAAGAAGGGGGAAGAACGAGCACTTCGCAGGAGGATGTTCATCGAAACCAGGAAACGTTTTCTTGAAGCCCAAAAGAAACAACCAGTTGCTTCTATCAGCAATAAAACTCTTTGAGTTACATTTTCATATTCCGTAAACAGTTTTAGTCTATTTGTTTCCAGCTTGAAAATTATAGCCATGAAAATCCCGACAATAATTTAGAATCACCTGTTTCTGTTCACCTACACAATCTCAATACCATTTCTCCCTAGCAAAACATGTGAACATTTATATCGGTACTTCGTGTCCTTTTGGCGAGACTAACAGTTCAAGTTGTGGCAGATATAAACGTACATAGCGGAAATGTGTCAGAGTGGCCCGTCATACTGATTGTCTTTATATGCAACGCAATGACCGCAAATGAAATATTACGCGGTGTGGTGATGACACTCCGCGAACGCCGACATTTTAATGAAGATACGTCGCCATGTTTGCTGTGACATCTAGCGCAAATGCTCGGTTTAACTCCACTGGTCAAAATTATAATCCTCATAACTAAATGGGGAAAACAATCTCTACCTGATGAAATCCTAAACATTGTTTCTGGATTGATAAAGGCAAAGTTATCCCTTTGCTTAATTAATTAAGCACTATGACATGAAGACGTATGGGGGGGTGGATGTATAGATCCATGCATTCTTGACCTTGGCAATACTGGAAGTCAGTGGTCAGCTTCACGCCTCGGCTGCTTTACTCCCGGGGCAAGAGCTCCCGGTACCTCATTGGATAGGAGGCTGGTTAGGCCCCAAAACCAAAACGACGCGAAGAGGAGAAAAAATTGTCTCTACTGGGATTCGAACTCATACCACTCCGCTATCCAGCCTGTAGCCAGTCATTATACCGACTGATCTATCCTGACTCATAAATTGTAAAGTTGTTTCTGGGCTTAAATAATTAAGCATCACGCCATGAAGTTGTAGTGGGGCAGTGGAGTTATAGCTCCACCGCCAATGAATGGAGGTGAAGGAATCGAACGGCGTTGCGATTGAGTGATGGCTTGGAAAGGATTACAAATAAAACTGTCGTGGTCTATTTAAGTAATGTACCTCTGCTTAAGTGGAGTGATTAAGGAAAGTCACGAAACCATCAGTTTATGTGACCAGAATCTCATACTGAGGGGGGTCAATCCAGACCTCTGCAACACTCCCAGCAGGCATTTACACAGATATCACTGAACCTTCTCTTTCCAAGTAAATGGTAAGAATGATAAGAATTGGTTATTTAATGACGCTGTCAGTATCGGGACTACACAGCGCCGGATAGTAGATGACTAATTACCGTAGAGCAGTTGGTTGAATACATTCCCCCCCCCTCTCTCTCTCTCTCTCTCTCTCT